ATACATCAGTAAACAACAAACGTGCGAAACGAACGCACCCAAATCACTAGTTATGATTCGAGGATTTCAGTCTTCTGAATTCACGTGATTTCGACGGTACCAAAATCAACAAATTTGTCAATATAGTTATTTTTATTTAATAAAGAGAACGCTTGAAAATATTTGCGCACGTTTAGTTCTTCTCTTTATGTAAATACATTAGCATACCGAGTGGCTGTTTTCGGCTTAATCATCATTAAAGATTTGTTTTTTGATACTCTATCTATGATAAAATATCAATTTGTATTCCAGTTTATTTTTTCTTTTAAATCTTTTGTGAAGCTCAAGTAAGTTTTCGAAGAAAATAGTGAGTGGAAGTTTAAGAGCGAGTTTTTGCGGCTCCTTTTCCCTCTTCATTACATACTATCTTGAGGGTGTGAGTATGAATGTGGGGATTCGTATGAGTGTCGTGTCTGGGTAGAAATCAAGAGTAAAGATACACTCACACCCTCGACAGGTACAGCAAATACTGATAATATTGTTCGATAAACTATATCGGAGCAGTTAAAATTTGTTTTTGATTTTATTTCAAATTCATGTATTTTCTTAATCAAATCATAGATAAAATAATCAAGAATAAATATTAGAGAAAAAATTATAGTTCTTCTTGAAATTCAACTTGTTTGTCAAATGGCCACTCGACTGTATATTCGAATGGAAGTCGACATTCGCCTCTTGGTGGTAGTATACATTTCCATTCTAAATTATTGGTATCCTTTAATGTTATAGTATTTTGTGAATTATTATCTTTTCGTCGTAAATCTGGATGAATCACATTGACTTTAATCTTTTCATCCGATGGTAATGGAACTTGATCATAAACAAAAACAACAACTTCATGGGTCTTCGTATTCGTTATATGGGTTTCGTGACGAACCGTTTTGAGATGAATTTTTGAAATAATTCCTTGAGTATCGCTTGTTTTCTTTACTGGTTTATATTCAATTTTGATACTAGAATCAATACCTAATGGCAGATCAAACGTATCACCTATACACACATTATCGATTGAACTATGTGCAACAAAATTGTTGTTCATGAAAATAGATGCAGGCCCAGCTAAAAGATACTTGTCAGATATATTCAAAGTTGATGCTTTCAAATAGGCATGTAATGATAGTTTAGGCACAACTGTATAGCTGAAGGTTGAAACAAGATCGAGCACACCGATAGTCAACTTGTGTGGTTTACCCTTTTATAGACAGAAATGTTGAAATTATCAAAGCTTTATTAGATCAAATTGAAACTTACATCGGCATCGATGGTCGATCGACGAGGAATAGTGAAACTGGTGCTCGAAAAACTCATTTCAGCTTTTGATCCTAATACATTGACAATGCTTTGCGACGTATCTTCATCATCGTTGTAAGAAGAAGCAGAACTGATTAGCGATGTTTGTTCACGTACATCCGATAATTTTCTTGATGCTCTACTAAATGATCCACCCATCGACAATGTACTTTGTGCAGATTGACTCATGAAGCGTTGTGGAACACCATGATACTGACGGCAGTTGACTTTGAGTGTGGCCAATTTGGGAGCAGCACCACCTAGAGATGGAGTTGCTGTAGATAATGAAAATTGTGTATCAGACCAATTCTCTTGACTTTTATTGACCTACATATAGTATATAAAATACATGATGAGATTTATTCATAATAGGTATGGATTTTTCAGAGATAGCCTTCTCATTATGAGTTCCTAATATAAAACCACGGATAAAAAAAATCATATTCGGACTGTACTCCACTTGACGCACAATTGATTGTCATGAAATGCGAAAGACTCATACAAATCATTTGAATGATAAATTTAGTTTTACAACGAAAATAAAAATATCAGATTATTTGATATGAAAACAAGAATAGATCACTTGAAATTATCTATTTTCTTGTGGAATTCGTCTGAATAGGAAAACATCTTTGCTATCACTATACCTATGATGAGAACTAGAACTATTATCTAAAGAACTAAAACGAACAATGAATAAAAATATATAGACAGAGCTAAAAATGATCAAAATTATATGAAGTCACTAGGAAGTTATAAAAATTCAGGGAATGTAAGATTCCTGGGAAAATGCTTCTATATATCTGTATCAACCATAGAATAATTATGACAACAGAAAATAAAATATTTTATTCCTTCAAATAGAATTAGACTTCTCTAAATATTTGAAAGTTTTTATGTTCTTCGAAAATGATCAAATTTATAGAATATATAAAATAGTGAAGAATAAGAAAGAAGCATCTACTTTTACTATTAAAATTCGATTAATTCTATGCAAAAAATTTCTATTGTTCATTAGAAAACATCCTTGTTTAATAATACAATACTCACAATAATACCATAATAAGTAAGTTGAGTTTTTGGTTGCCTTCCTTCTTCACTGTCAACCCGTATATCATAACTTGCACTCCATGAACAATTGCTGATTAAATAGGATACTTCCAAGGCAATGTCTGTTTTACTACTACCTACATAAATAGTAATAGTCACTTCACGCTGTTCTATGCGTCGATTAGTCGTTGCTTGTGAACCATGTTCATTTATTTTGGCTGTAAGTGTATCACGTCGACTGTTCAATTCTTTCAATTGGCATTGTTCCTGAGTTGTTTCTTTATCTATTTTGCTGAGCATTTTGTGATAAAAGTTAAGAAACTGTTCCATTATATCAAGGTCACTTGCACTCAATGGTGCTTCTTGACTCATCAGTTTTGATGCTCTTCCATCGAGCCACACTCGTTGCTTTTTAAGTCGATCTAGTTCTTGAGCATGTTCATCAACATCTGCTTGAACAACATCTAATTGTGCTTGCAATTGATCGAGTGGTGTTGTATCAGATTGTGATGTCGATGGATCTTCGTAACGTGTTTGATACGAAACTTCAAGAATAGTACATGATTTGCCTGTTCCACCGCTAACATGAAATGAAGTTAGATCGACACAAGGTGATAAACCTTGGAGAACTAGATCATAAGTGCCTTCATTATCGAAATGATGTCGAACAAGACGTGTTAATTCTGCACGATCATTGTAAACAGTTACATACTGAACTGGACATTCTTGCTTGACATTAATGTGAACAATTGTAGTAGATGGTGATGTATTCGTTGTCAATATTGTTTCCGTCATGAAATTCTTTTTATAAAATTTTCTCGATGCTCTTTCCTTCAATATTTATCGTTAAAACATGAATAGAGATCACGCTTAAATATGTGGTAGTTATTCGACTGTTCGTAGTTGTTGTTGTCGTGGGGTGTATGAGTTGAAGCTGACAAACAGAATGAATCACCGCCGAAGGCCACGTATCATATAAAAAACACAGAATGACAAAGTAACACATTGAATGAATCATAAGAAAAATAAAGAACGACACGCTACCGTTATCCATATCTTTAAATAATTGAAATATTTCAAAATGAATTATTTATTAGTTAATTCTCATATTTCCAAAACAAAAAATTTTGCTTTTCCATCATGTTGCAATTACCAAAACTAGCAACGAGCAAACTCTACTTCTTGGAAAACTTAAACATCTTCAGAAAAAATAAATTCTGGAAAGATTTTATAGTTTGAATAGTCTGCGGGTGTGGGTGTGGGTGTGGATGTTGTTTTCATCCAAGTTCAGGCCCACGCCCCACTCCCACACACACACACCCACACCTGCACCCACACCCGCACCCACACCCGCACCCACACCCACACTCACACCCCACACCCACACCCACACCCTTTCTGGTTTTAAAATTTTTTGATGAACATTTTTCGATTTTTAAAGACCTTGACTATCCTTGTCTCATTTTGAGTAAAATATTGGAGTTCTATTTTCTTCATATTGTGAAGGTTTGTGTAGATTGGATTATTTCTTTCTCTGTTTTGTAAAGAATTTATGTACTCGGACTATTTCATCTATGAAATAAGGATTGAAATCAGGGTGTGATCAGATGTAGATTTGGTTGAAATGAAGAACCAGACCCTTGTTCGCACCCTGTTCACATTTATCCAAGTAGTTGTCCTTCTTTTTCATTTCAAAATACACGCACAACCATATTTTTCTCGCTGGTTTGGAACGAAACGTTACTCGCGAATTGTTCCTGTTGGAGTTCGTGGAGAAGACATAAAGTACTAGGACAAAAATACCAGATACTGAATCTAATTTATAAAAAAATGAAAGAAACTCAGATTCAGTTTTGCACACAATTTACACATAGGATACACGTATGAAACCATATTATCTTCTTGTCAGATCAAGATGTCCATCATGATCTGTATTTGGAGGTTAAAGGACCCGATTGCAAGGGAAAAATTATCATGTTCGGAGTTTACGATCTCAAAACTATCCAAAATCTAAAACCTCATGTAACAAAAACAATGCTACACAACAAAGTCCACAAGAAAAAACATAGTATTACTGACGATAGGCGAGCATCTGTGTGAATATGAACATATGAATGCGATTCTCGATTTATGCACAGATCTAATCTACGAGTAAAATCTGTAGTCGTCGTTTCGTTTGTCTATATTTCGAAATCTATTTAACAGAAATTTTTTCTGCTCGTATTTTTTTTTCTAATAACCATGACACAGTTGTGTATACTGTTAGACAGTTTTTTGAATCTAAATCTAGTTTGCGAGTGTAGATGAAAGGCGAGCATGAATTCGTATGCAACTTCTCCATAACTATAGTGCGAGTATTGGATGCCATGAAACGATAATGGCACTTATTGTCAAATGGATCCATGGGAATTCATGAATTTCGTTTCTTAAAACAGCAAAACTAGATATAACATAATTTCACGATTAAAAAAATATTTTCTATTTATGTGCCTTGAAAAATGCAAATCAATATAAACGAAACTTATGTTTATCCCATGTAATGTCTGTTTTACTACAATCGAATTTTTTCGATAAAAGAAAGCACCATCAAGGAATGAAATTGAAGCTAATTTAATGGTGACTCATTCTTCGGGTTGTAGAACACATCGATAATACACTGATCCTGTTGATGGAATTTTCTTTGGATCTTCATAAATGTAGATCGTATCATTTGCTACAAATGCATGTTTCTCATCAAAATTTGACAATAGAAAATCACTGATGGTGCCTTTCGTTGGTACATATTCATAAGATGAGTATCGGAGAAGAACATAGGATTTGCCAACAATTAAATCACGTACGGTCACAATGCCATCCATCTCAGTAGGACTTTGATTGTAAGCAGGATGTGGATTTGGTTCATCCCAAGCCGAAACTGATAGACGTACAGGTAATGTCACATGATCTTCATCCACAATACCTTTCACAGCAATTCCAAAGTCGATCTAGGAATTTTTCAGACAATAATTTGCAATATTCTATGTTTTGGAGTAGAAATAATAATAAGAAAAAAAGAAATCTGATCGTACTATGTTGAATGATAAACATTTCAAAAGAGTTTACTCACATTGAGTGGTATACATCCACCTTCACCACAATGTTTTCGACATGTTTTTCTTGTTGCTGCCAAATCATTTTCACTCATTTTTCGTTCAATTAATCTCTGATGATAGAGATTAAAATAGACAAG